TCTCTCTCTCTCTCTCTCTCTCTCTCTCTCTCTCTCTCTCTCTCTCCCCCCCCCCCCCCCCCCCCCTCTCTCTCTCTCTCACTCTCTCTCTCTCTCTCTTTCTCTCTCTCATAAACGTCACGGACAGCCGAAGAGTGACAAAAAAAACGCAAGCTCGCAACGAGGGTAATGAAATGAATTATTCGTCGCACGACTTGCCACGGAACGAATTTTAACGTGTTAAAACCATAACGTAAACCGAGCATTAAAATTCCTGTCTCGTCAAGCCTTCGCAATTAAATCAGTCAATTAATGTGTAAAAACCGATCGCGTTAATTTCTGATTTCACTAATTCACCGATAAAGATGTCTACGCATAGGCAAATCTGCATTTCAAGTCACCAGTAGTTTGCTTTCGCGTTATAAAAAAAAAAACAAACAAACAAACAAACAAACAAACAACGCTGAACTGTCAATGTTTTATTTGGTTCAAGAGAACCATCAACCGTGTGAGCTATATACTGTCTATTTCTCTCTGCACACTCATTTTTATTCTATTATACAAATCCTTTCATATATTTTACTTCTCCCCTCCCATATAATTCACAATTTTTTATTAAAAGATCATGTCGATTTCGAATGGATACTCGAAATAATGTGAATAGAAATCATTGAATAATCCTATTCGATTATCGATTTTCTTCATATTCAGGAATGACTTCCGTTAAATTTCATCATATATTAACAAAAAAAATAACGAATGTTATACTTTGAATACTGACCCAATCGGAAGAAAAACATATGCGAGGCGAGTTTTCGAAGAAAGCGAGCTCATTCCATACGCTACGAATCACACAGAATCGGGCTTGATCTAAATCGCAACCAAGTGATCTTAAGATTTCACTATTCACGCACCACAGGTGCTACGCGTATCGGAGCGGAGAACACGTATTACCCTGTCACAAACTTCACGAACGCATTTCAAGTACCGTGCGACCTCAGAAAGCTCTTACGAACAGCCGCTTCGCTAGCCAAGCAGTCAGTCAGTTGGTCAGTCAGTTCGTCAGTCAACAAGTCAGCCAGCCAGCCAGCCAGCCAACTAAGCGATAGATGGCTAACGAGCGACGTAATTAACAGTTCCGGCGCACTACAGGTGTCATCGTCTACACGACTCCCCGGCACGCGCGACCGAGGAGATGCTCTCGAGACTCGAGGATCGAGCGAATAATAATGCGACCAACCGTTGCGTCTACTCACCGACAAGTTCCGTACGCACGCCGACCAGCAGAGTGGTCACTACCAGAAGGGGCACCTGTCGTCGGCGCGGACACATAGCACGTTTCTCACCCATGATCGTCGCACGCGTGTAACGCGACGAGGCTAGCGCTGCCGCGTCGAGACTGAAGTCCTGACCTGCCGCGAAGCTACGTATATCCGGCGCGCACGAGGCGAAGAACCCCCCTCTCTATCGCGCGGCACCCCGTCGCGCGCCAGCGAGAGCGAAGGGGTTGCTCGGCCAGCGGAGAGAGCGCACCGTTCATCCCCACCGGCCGGTTCATCCCCTTCGACGTGCCGCGACGCGGACGCGAGGAGGATCCCCTTCGAGTCCGAGAGTACTACCGAGTCGCGCCGACGCTCCCTTGACCGGCCGGCCGGCCGGCTGGCTAGCTAGCTGGCTGACTAGCTATGCGCGTGGCAAAGCTTTGCCTTGAGTTACGCTGACACACCTGGATTTACTTAGAGCCCGGTGATTATGACGGGACGACGAAGACTGCACTAAGCCCTTCTCCCACTTTCCCTCCCTCTAGCAGTCGGACTTATTTCACGCGTCGCTACAGGTGCGCGAACTGCTTCCCTCTCAGCCGAGATGTTAAAGCCGAGGCGCGAACAAGTAGAAAAAGTAATGTGTCGGGCGCGCAAAACAAAAATCCGCTCTCTCTCTCTCTCTCTCTCTCTCTCTCTATCTCTATTTTGGTGTCACGACAAGCGTTGATGAGAATGCCGTTGATATATCCAGCAAAATAACATGTATCAGGGCGAATGAAAATATCGTGACTGACATGTTAATCTGATTTATAACATTCGTAGTTCAAAGATATCCTTACCAAAAACATGAGTGCAGTCGGAACCGGATTTCTAATTCGAGTTAAATTATATTTACTTTGTCGAAGAGAGGAAGAAAGATGTGAAAGGAAAAGAGAGAAAGAGACAGAGAGAGAGGGAGAAAGAGAGGAAGAAAGAGAGAGAAAGGAGAGCGCAGTTCGCGTACGTAGAGAGAGGCACGAGTGTGGAATATTTGCATAACGCGATGCAGCGCGAAATGATTTAAATTCTACTCTGACACTACATCTCTCCTCTCTCTCTCGACACTGCCGTAAGAACGGAATCGATGCCACTCCACGCGATGAAACATTCAAATCTGAAAAGAGTTCCCTCTGCGACGCGCGACGAACACAAACAAAACGATCTCTACCCATAGGACGACACGTAAGTAGGCGACTAGCGGCGGGAGTGAGTTTGCTTTGAAGTTACATTGTATTTGCTTAATGTAGATCGATCGCTGCGAAATGAAAATTAGGCTATCGTGTTCCGTACGCGGTCAAACATAAATGTCACTAGACGCGATAAAAGATTAAGAAGCATCCGATTGTTTCTTCTTTTACTATCCATTAATTTCGATCTTTATTTATCGAATGCAATAATCACGTTAAATTTATGATCTGGACGCTATTATTTTTAACTACTTGGATAAATAAAATTTAAAAAAAAATATCGATTCCTACCATTTCATGGGTGCTGTTTTTAATCTGTAAAGATGCCATCTTCGAATATAGAATTCGAAAATACGTGTATCTTCGCGGTATGTTGTCGCGCAATGTTTTATTGCGACGATAAACCGACATCGGGTCTCGTTGTCGGAATCGAATATCAAAATGATTTACAAGCGTTTAACACGTTCGCTACCAATGTCACATATATGTGACGTAACAATCTCTCATTGCAGATCAACGTCACACTCAAAAAAAAAGCGACTGGATCGACAAAATCGGCGGTCACCAGTTATCAAAGAAATATCGTATCTATTCGACAAAATACGTATTAGTACGATAATAAGTTGTGTAATATTAAAGCCTCACTATATCAATGCAGATATATTTTCCTCACAATGTATCATCAAGGGAAATTTTGTCAATTGTCATATATGTCACAAATATACATTTGCATATCCTATACCTCAGCTCGATCGCAAAAACTGTACACTCTTGGTCGAAAAATCAGCCCGAGGACGAAACGCAATACGTTCGACGACTGTTTCAATTACTCGCGAAGAAGGGTCGCGATCCCGTCGTCCCTGCCGCTCGGGATCGGCCGCGGATGCCAGTGTATCAAATCAGAAGTTAGTTTTCTTTGCATCAGACGTTTGTATATTTTACTTAAATTGCCTGACGTGGAAGCCCGACGGTAACTACGGAAACTATTTCAAGCGCACCCGATAAAGGAATCCAACGAGTAATTGGAAAAACCGGCGGGCGAAACTTTAGACTATCGATTCGTGTACACAGATTGGAGGGCCGACGGTATATAAAAGGGTCGACCCTGTGCCGCGCACTCAAAAGTAGACTATCTCGAAAACTTTATTTCACCGTATCGTGCTATCAGCACGGAGCGCCGCGGGGATCTAGGAACCCGAAGACGTCGTATTATGTAATTCTATCGGGCGCGTATCCACGCGGCGTGGTACTAACGTCGGGGTGATGTACGATCCAACGAAATGTGCATGAAGGACACTGTATCACAGGGTCCGATGATATATCCCCTTCAACACAACCTCGGTACTCACCCGGCAAGCATACTGCGCGCCACGGCCCTCCTCGACTACACGGCCGGCTCCTCGGTCTGACTGCTACACAACCACTGTCGCTCGATTACACACATCGTCGATCTGCCTGGAGGCTCCTCAAGTTGGCCGGTGTTATACATCGCGTTCTGATACCCCGCGTGTGTGCCTGAACAAGTCTGACGTCTGACTATTGCACGCATGATATCTAGCGCGCATAAAATGCCGTTATGTAAATTCTCAGGCGGACGCGCCACGGAAGTTGCGAAACGTATTCTCACGTGTACAATGTCCGAGAACGAGGACGCGGCAAGGTAGATATATATGCAAGCATCCTCATCCCTATGTATCCTAAGGCAAACTCTATAGCTATTTACATTAATCTAATTCTCCTGTGCGTTTGTTCGAAAATTTGTCATTTTCCCGAAAATTAAATATTGGCTATCGAAGACGCATTTTGTCGAGCCAGTCGACTTTCGGATTGCAATAAGTCAAGCCAGTTTATTGAGGACAAGCCGAAATTGTTATTCGTTTGCCCTTTATAGGGCAAGACTCCTTGGATATGACAAATAAGTTTCTTTTTTTGAACTTTATTAAAATAGTCCTTAAAAACATTTTAATATCATTTTTGAGACTGAACAAAATTTTTGATAAGAGATATTAACCGATATAACTGTTGTGACCATTCAGGGATGCGTTTAGAACCACTCTCGATTCTTTAGGCCAATTCTGTGCTGCTGGTACGACTTATGTACCAGAGCCCTATAAAGGGTTAAACAGTATTGACATTACTTCAACGCGCCTCTCAACAGTCTCAAACAATAACCGCTCGAATTCCTGAATACAAATCCGAAGAATTTCCCACTTCTTTTATAGTTTGAAGATATAAAACATAAAATAATTTACACTAATAATGAAAAATTTTATATTCATCTTTCTCGTTATCAAAATATTTGAATTTTGGCAGAAAATGCAAATATCATTTCCACAAAATGTATCTTAGGAAAAAGATATTTTTTTTTTGTATGAGTCTACACAATTGAAAATGAACATATATGAAACTGTACAAGATTTGATAAGATCATACATTTGGTGTCGCCGTGTATCATCTATGCGGCGCGAAGAGTCCCCGCTGACTTTTTTGAAATACGCGTTTGCATAGCTTAATATCGAATTATATTAGGCAGGTAGAGAGTCGAAGGCTACAAATAAAAAAAATTGAACGAAAAATCATAATTAACGGGAACGGTTGTTACACCTTCGTGAAAGTCCGCTTACTCGGGTTTGGAACTTAGAACGACACGCAATAATCTGGCCGGGCTCTATATCGCGTAGTTCGATCGTGTGGGTTTACTATCTGGAATCTCGATCGCTCCTGATCGAGCAATTATTCCGTGGCACTTCAATTTTCCACGATAAATTTTTACCGCGCGGCGATCACCGCTCGCTGGAGCGCGGGACGACACGAGAGAGTAGCGGGAAAAATTTGTCGGAAAAACGGACAGCCATTGTCTTCGGCCTGATGGAAGATAGAGACAAAATTGAGCCATCGATTATCGTCTGCGAGCGTTTGCATAGAAATTGCTAAAACTGCGAAAATCGGTTCTGCGATATTTTCTTATTTTTCGTCGAATTGGCTTAACCCTTTAAGTATCACTGGTACCAATAGGGACCACTTAGGATCGAGCAGTTGAAACGCGCCACTTTTGGTTTTAAAGACAACTGATAGATGCCATTCTAATATAGTTACTAGAATGTTCCATGAATTATGCGCCTTAAAGGATTAAGAGTTAGCCTTTGCTTAATTTTCATTACTTGACTCTCTGTCTCTTCTCAAATAATACTCGGAAGCAAATATCGCTAATATCGATATCGAAGAAAATCATATATTTATCAATATCATATATTTATCTATTGCATGGTTCAAACAAATGTTTAATATTTTTTTTTAAATAACCAGAAAAAATTTCATACATGTGTCCCCTCTCCTTTATAAATATACTTATCGTAGATTTGGAAAAAGCTAATTTTATCATGTACTCAAAAAAAACATTTATTCTCTTCTTAAGAATATTATTAAACTTTATCTCAGAAAAAATTGATTCTATGTAATAAACAAACCAAATTTTTCTTTTAATATTGTTGATTAATATTTTAATATTCTTTAATTAATATTAATATTTAATATTTTAATATTCTTATATATATATATTAATAAATATTAATAATTAATATATATAAAATATTTATATATTAATTAATATTAATAATTAATATTTAACATTTTAATATTGTTGCAATACTAAATTTATATCAGGATTTGAATGTATTTTGGATAAATTTAATTCTTGTGATAAACTTATGAAATATTTGGAATAATTACTGGAAAATTACTTTGGAAATATTTGTAATATTTACTTGTGTTAAGTACACTTTATTTTCATATGTAATTTTATCATATAAATTGGAGCAGTCAATACGCTGTAATTTTTGAAAAATGAAATCAGTGTCACGATAGCAATAGTTCCACATCGTTTTTCATCCTTGAGGCAGGAATGCCCTATTTCAATTATGCATGTACTTTTACTATACAAAAGCATTTTTAATTTGGTCAAGTCAACACAAAGTAAAATTTGTTGGAAAATGTCGTTGACGTGATACCGAATATTTTTGCAAAACTATTGTTTCGTGCTGATTCGACAAAATAAAAAACCTTTTTACTTGGTGAAAGTACGTGCGAAAATGAAGCGAAGTATACATCAATATGACATA